GCTGGGTTTTAGAATAGGCTCCGAATCTGGGCAGTCATGGGAGGAATGCCTGGGAGGATGGATGGAGCTGGGAGATGCAGTGGAAGCAACTGTGCAGAAGTATGAAGCAGCACAGACAGCAGGAGCCAGGGGCACCTTCCTCGTCCTGGGACTGTCCCTGTGCCCAGGGCTCTAATGACCGATGGGCGGGAGCTCAGAAGTGACAGAGTACAAAGTGAGCTTTTGAAATACTCTCCCACGCAGTCACAAGGAAAACATGATTCACAGGGGGCCTGAAGGAGTTTTTCTTTTTCTTTTTTTAATTGCATGATGGGGCTAAGTTATTGAGAAACCATTTTTGACTATAATATCATTCAGGAATGAAACTAATTCTTATAAGTTGGGAGGAAAATTCCTTCACCATTTGCATATTAACCAATCATTTATATACAAGTTATTAAAAGTGGCCAGGCTGAGCCTTTGCTTTATTCAGTTCCCATCTCCATACACACAGTTCCAAAAGTCCAGATGGGTATTTTCTGCATTGGTCTATTACATAGTTTATGTGTTAATATTAACCATACGTGGAGAAGTAGTGAGAGTTAAAGTCTAGTGAAAAGCAAATCACGATGTAATGTTGTTAGAGTTTTGACCATAACCATTCATATACCATACACATTGACAAAACATGAAAGCATAATAAATTCACTAAGTTTCTAGACACTTTGTTTTAGAAGAAGCTAAGAATGGAAAAGTTGCTACAGCTAAGCTTTCATTTCCTGCCAGTATGTGTGTTTACACTGGTATCAAATGCTCATTTTTCCTGAAGGCTGCAGACATTTTTTAGACCAAGTAAAAAAGGAAACTAGTCTAGACATATTGGTAGATGAAAAAATTTCTAAATAATCACAGATTTCTGCCCAAAGACTTTAATCTCATCCTTAGAAAAGCTTTTGGGGAAAGATAAAACATTATTTCAAAAAGGGCAACATTAAGCCAACCTATTCTCTGTAGGATATAGCCCACAGCTCCCTCCCTCAAATCCTAAACATTAATCATTAATTTTTAACTAAACATTAATTACAAATATTAATACTGCTCCTATCTTTTTAATTCCTTTCCTCAATTCTTGTTTGGTTTCCTCTCTTGTTCTTATTGTCTAACTTTCTTTCTCTGAATATTTAGCTCTTTAAAAAACTTGATCTAGTAACTACATGTACAATCCTGAACTCAAAAAAGAAAGGATATACTTTCTTTCCAAACACATGAGACATTTATAACTATTGACACTGGGCTATACTGTAATGGAAGTCTCAATACATTTCAAAGAGACACATTTTTCTGAACATACAGAAATTAAATTAGAAAAAAATTGTACATCATGATCTAGTGGGCTTTATCCCAGGATTGAAAGGTTGGTTCAACATATGTAAATCCATGAATGTAGTTCACCACATAAATAAAAGCAAAAACAAGACCATATGATCCTCTCCATTGACACAGAAAAAGCAATTGACAAAATTCAGCATCCTTTCCAGACAAGAACACTTAAGAAAATAGGCATAGATGAGACATGTCTTAAACTGATAGAAGCCTTCTACAACAAACCACACAGAATGTGTGCCAATATCGCACAGAATGGAGAAAAACTGAAAGCACTTCCACTTAGAACCAAAACAAGAAAAGAATATCCACTATCACCACTACTATTCAACATAGTTCTGGAAGTTTAGCCAACACAATCAGGCAAGAGAAGGCTATCAGGAGGATTCAAATGCAGACAGAGGAGGTCAAACTCTCACTCTTTGCTGATGATATGATGTTACACAGAAAACCCCAAGGACTCAACCACAAGGGTACTAAAAGGGACCAAGACACACAGTAACATCTCAGGGCATAAAATCGGTGTTCACAAATCGCTCAATAACCTTCATATATACCAACAACAGTCAAGCAGAGAATCAAATCAAAGACATAAAACCCTTCATGATAGATTCAAAGAAAATGACAAACCTGGAAATATACAAACAAAGGACATGAAGAATCTTTACAGAGAGAACAATGAAGCCCTGAGAATAGAAATAGCAGAAAATGTTAACAAATGGAAGAACATACCATGCTCATGGCTAGGAAGAATCAACATTGTAAAAATGTCCATACTACCCAAAGCAATCTGCGTATTTAATGCAATCCCCATTAAACTACCAATATTATATTTTGAAGAACTTGAAAAAAATAGTACTTCATTTCATATAGAACCAGAAATAAAAACCAAGTAGCAAATGCAATTCTAAGAAATAAAAATAAATCCAGAAGCATCACATTCAGACTTCGGGTTATACGACAAGTCTATAGTAATCAAAGCAGCCTGGGACTGACACAAAAATAAAGACATAGATCTATGCAATAGAATAGACAACCTAGAGGTGAAATCAGCCCCATATCACCATCTGATCTTTGATAAACCAAATAAAAATAAACCAGGGAAAAGAATTCCTATTTAATAAATTGTGCTGGGATTACTGGTTAGCCACCTGTAAAAGACTGAAACTGGACCTCTTACCACTTACCAAAATTAACACTGTATAAAAATTTTAAATTTAAGTCATGAAACAATAAAAACTCTAGAAGAAAGTGTGAGAAAAACTCTTCACAATATTGGACTGGGAAAAGAATTTATGAAAAAAGACCCCATTTGTAATTTAGGCAATACCAAAAATAACGGGACATGATCAAGCTAAAAAGCTTCTGCACAGCTAAATGCACAACAACTGAAGAAAACAGGCAATCTTCAGAACAGGAGAAGATATTTGCATCCTATGAATCTGACAAAGGGCTGATAACTAGAATCTACAGAGAAAAACTAACCAACAAGAAAAAAGCAAGAGCAAGAGACATAGAAACAGAATCTTCTCAAAGAAGACAGACTAATGGCTAACAAACACATGAAAAAATGCTTCTCATCCCTAATAATCAGAGAAATGAAAATCAAAACCACCTTGAAAGATCTCCTAACCCCAGTGAGAACAGCCCACATCACAATGTCTCAAAGCTGCAGATGCTGGTGTGGATATGGAGAGAAGGGAGCACTTTTACATTGTTGGTAAGACTGAAAACTAATACAGCCTTTTTGGAAAGAAGTATGGAGAATCCTCAAATAGCTAAAAATAGACCTTTCATTTGATCCCACAATCCCGTTACTAGATGTCTACCCAGAGGTAAAAACATCATTTTACCATAAGGACTGGAATTTTTTTGCAGCACACAGTCACTAAGATGTGGAATCAACCCAAGTGCCCATCAACCCTTGAAGGAATTAACAAGCTGTGGTATATGTATGCCACAGAGTACTATTCAGTCATAAAAAGATGGAGACTTTACATTTTTTGTATTAACCTCGATGAAGTTGAAAAATATTCTCCTTAGTAAAGTATCACATGAATGGAACAGCAAGTATCCAATGTACTCAATACTAAGTAATAATGTACTAATGTAATACTAATGTAATAATACTACTAATAATTACATTAGATAATATTGAACTAATGTAATGATAATAATAATTACATTAATACTAATGTAATAATACTATGAAACCAGTAGATGAACAACTATAGGCCCGCAAAAGAGAAAAACACAATTAAATTTAAAAGGGAAGGAGCGGGGAGAGGGAAGTGCATCGCTATTCCTGCTGTGCATTTCTATTCTGTGTCCAGCCTACAAGTTTCTTTGCCCTGTTTTTACTTGTTTTGCTTTCTTGCAGTTAGATATTTGTTACTTTCTAATTTATTTCTTTTATTTTCTAGGCTTCTTTTCCTATTTCATCTGTCATTGATGTGTGTTTGGAGCAGAGAGGTATAAACTGCGTCATCTTGATCAAAAGCTGTCTCTTTAAAAATCTTTTTAATAAAGGTGGGCATGGTGACTCGCACCTGTAATCCCAGCACTTGGGAGGCAGAGGCAGGTAGATTGCCTGCTCATAGGTCTAGCCAGAGCAAGACCTCGTCTCTAAAAATAGTCTGGGCATCGTGGCCGGCACCTGTAGTCCCAGCTACTTGGGAGGCCGAGGCAAGAGAATCACTTAAGCCCAGGGGTTTGAGGTGGTGGTGAGCTGTGACACCACAGCACTTTATCAAGGGTGACAAAATGAGACTCTGGTTCCAAAAAAATCTTTTTAATTTATTTTTATTTCTGGATAGGGAATACATGCACATTGTTAAACATTCCAATTAAGAGATATAGAGCACGTATAGTGACTTATATGCTAGTTTATTTGCCCCATTTAGGCTCCTGGCAGATGATAAGTAATCTAACAAAACAACTTCTGTATATAAACTGATTGTATTCACCAATGATCAATTTTATCACATTATAGGGTATTTGTTAAGATGTTTTTCCTATAAAATTTTTTCCACTAAAATAACCCTTGAAGCTAGCCCGTCTGTACTAGCCTCTGTTCTAACGCCCTGCTACTCCTCCATGTGCTTAAATATCACATCTTTCCTGTTCCCTGTTTAGTGAGGCTGTCTCTCTCCCCTACCAGATCTTCCGTAGCATTCCTCATGTGCAATGCAAATCCCTGATGTAACCTCATCGGGCACGAGGACAAAACGAAACAATATGTATGGAAAAGTTCAGTGCAGTGGCTGACATATAGTTGTTTCTCACTAATAGTTTACCCTCTTTCCTGCCTTCCATGTATTTCTCAAGCTTATCACCCATGAGGCTGTCAGCTGCTTTAGCATCAGCAACTGCTTCTAACCAAAGCATCAGCTCAGCGTTCACATATAATGGTTACTCAGGTGGCAGATGGGGATGTACACACCCCACCTCCTGTGCAGGTGCGCTGACAATGCTCCCACCAGGGCCACTAGACTATCAAAGAAACATCACCTCTCAGAGGCCCATGTTCTCACTACAGGCAGGGAACTCTCTGGGGTCTGGAGCAAAATGCCCCATCAGATAAAGACAGCTATTACAGGCAGAGATACCAGGTACATTACTTGCAGGAGCCAACTCACCTGCCAGAACCACGTCCCCTGAAGCAGGATGAGGCTTTCACGCAGAAGCTCTACAAGTACATTGCCCCGTAAGAGGAATTCCATGAAGGCGACCAGGCCTGTCAGAAGGACGACCAAAACCAGCAGCTGGTGCACAAAGATGTCCAGCATCTCCCGGCCATGAGTGTGGTTGTAGAAGATAAAACCTGATAGAGGGGTTAAAAAAAAATTTTATCTTCTTCAATGAAACCAAAGGTCACCAGCTAACTGTTTCTCTCTCTCCTCCTCTCTTTCCACAGAATTTTATACACACAAAACCCCAACTGCTCAATGATTCTCACAGGGCTGCAACTCTCTAAGATGTTTAAAGTCATCATTGCATCTTTGGAATGGAATCTTTGAAATCTAACCCTTCTTTTCCCTTCCCCAACCTTTTTTTGCTCCTCTAGCACATGTTGACATTTTCAGCTAACTATACTTTCAAAGAATCTTCTGTGAAAGATGAGGAATAATAGGCATAAAGAAGCAGGGGGGCAAGAATTAAGGTGACACAGGCAAGAACAAGCAAAAGCCTCGCCTTAAGGAATTCAGTCCACATGTAAATCATAAGGGTGGACTTTGGTATGACAAGATGGTCTGAGAAGCTTCCAAGATGTAATAATTATCAGCATTTTTTTCATTCCATGGACAGATTTCAGCTGCACCTTATTCCTTTTCATTTGTATAGACAGAAAAATTATGTTCATTCAAAATATAGTAACACACACACATATACAAACTATAGTAACACCCTGAAATAGCAAGAATCAGGCTATGAGTTGTTGACACTCATCTTTTTTTAGCCCTTGTTCCCAAGGAGGAATATGCAACAGCTATTATTTTCAGATGCTGGAGACAAGGTGAGTAGGGAGTGACTGCCTCCTGATTAGCTATGCCCCTTTTTTGTTTCATAGTTAATCTATTTTTTACATGTAGAAAACAAATGAAAATAAATCATTAAATACTTGTTTCCTTTTTCCTCCAGGAGGAGTTGCAAGACCAACTGAACTAAAAATATTGTTTAAATTAACGTCTCAAAATTAGGACCTATTATTTTTATGTGGCTGCATTTTTTGGACCTTCTTACCATATAATGAATGACAGGGTTTTACTATATCAGTGTGAAAAGGCTAGTTAGTAGATGGTAGAAGCTGTCCTGCTGTGAGTGGTTGCTTCATTTCAGGATATTCAAGCTTTGTTAGTAAGTTCACATTTCACTTATTAAAAGTGAAAATAATGATAATTTTCAGGACAGCCTAGAGATAAGGAAACATTGAAAGTAGTACTTTATTATAGATGTGAATTATGACTAATGCACTTTGAATGAGTGGGCTTGCCCAGTTCTACTAAAGGAGTCAGTAGAGGAGGAAGATCTTTGTCAACCTGTCTAGCATACTCATCATGGCCCAGAAAAATGGCCCTATCAATCCAGACTGCATGAAGACACCAAAGATTTATTATTATGAAAGGCTGCACAAATGTCCTCTCCTAGAGACAGGTACAGGAAAACATTCACTCATACTTACCCTCCACAAATAAGGCATTTGACAACATGAACTTGGGCAAGGAGGCAGGAAGTGAACTGATGGCGAAACATAAGATCTCTGCCACACCGAACAGCCCGAAGAAGAAATACATGGTGGAATGATGCCAGCTCGTGAGTTGTTGCCACTGGCCCTCTTTATACAAGGTCAGGTAGGGCCCTCCAGACAAGAACTGCTCCCCAACCATGCCTGCAGAGGAACATTTGACAGTTTTAGCAACTCCGCCCATAACATTACTTAGAACGCAGGAAGATACAGCAGGGTCAGCTCAGTGCTTACTTCAATCTGTATTATTTTGTGACATTGATTCCTCTGTCTGGGCTGTTCCCTGACACCTGGGAACCAGAGCTTCAGGATTGCGTTAGAGCAGTGTTTTTCAACCTTTTTATCTCATGGCACACTTGAACTGATAGCAAAACTTCCATGGCATGCTTAAATTACATTGATTAAAAAAAAAGAGTAGAAAAAGAATATACTTACTGTGCTTTGACTTCTTTCAAAAATAACTTAAGTAGTGATCTTTAAGAAGTTTTGCTGTACACCTAAGATCTCGTGGCACATCAGTGTGCCATAGCACAAGGGTTGAAATCACTGCTTTAGAGGCTCCAATGCTAGTTCAAATAACCAATTTTATTCAAAGACAACCAACTGAGCCAAACGGCTCTTTCAGATCATCAATGTTGATGATCTTAGTTCCACTGACAAGTTCCACAGACTATGCCAATCCAATGACTAAATCCTGAGTGAGGCTCAGTGTCTGTAGGTCAGTGAGTAGGGTGCCAGCCACATACACTGAAGCTGGTAGGTTTGAGCCCAGCCTGGGCCTGCTAAACAACAAGGACAACTGCAACCAAAAATTAGCTAGGCATTATGGCGGGGACCTGTAGTCTCAGCTACTTGGGAGGCTAAGCAAGAGAATCACTTCAGCCCAAGAGTTGGAGGTTGCTGTGAGCTGTGACACCATGGCACTCTACCAAAGGCAACAGAGTGAGATTCTGTCTCAATAAATTAATTAATTAATTAATTAATTCTGAGTGATTTGGGAGTTTGGATTTGTGACCTTAGTCCTACACAGGCTGATTACTTCCTGCTTAAGTGCTATATCTTTGGGTAGCTGCCATGAAGTAGACGGTTGCACTTGGTCCCAGAGAAAAATGCTGAAGAGCTCAGTCTTTCCTCAATTAAGGATAACTGAGAAAGCCCATATAGCCAAGGATATGACCTAGTCAGTTAGGCAAACATGCTGCCTTCTCTGTTACTCTATAGACTCTGATAAGGAAACGTCTCTCTTTGGAAATGTTACTCTGTAATTTGATGGTCATAGTAAAGACATATTGACATGAATAAAGCATAAAGAAACCTAATGGGAAGGTGGGAAGTTTTACCTTTATAAAGGAGGGGCTGCAGGGAACTCTTAAAAATATAGAACACTTTAATAGAATCTTCATAGTCAGTGGAAAGGGCTTACCAAGTCATCTGGCCTTACCTCTTTCTCTGATTTAGGAACCAAGGAAGGATGAGTGCATGAGGCAAAATCTTCTACAGCCTATCAGCATTGATTTATTATTGAAGCTTTTTCATAATCACTTGCTTATTTTAGTGTTGTTTGCAAAATGGTTTTTGATCTTGAATGGGTTCACTCTTTTAGGAGTCAGAATAATGGATATAAAATGATTTTAGAAGCTCCAACTAATTCTAAAAAGGAAATTCACCTTGACTGGGTACACAAGTTAACTACTAAGACTAAGGTATTAATAGCTTTTTGTATAAACACTAAGTAACCCCTTACTAACAAATTATATTACAATTAGAATAGTATTCCATAGTATACATCTTTTGTATTTACCTGGATGGATTTGGAGAATATGCTCTTAAATAAAGTATCTCAAGAATGGAAAAGCAGGGTGGTACCTGTGGCTCAGTGAGTAGGGTGCCGGCCCCATATACCAAGGGTGGCGGGTTCGAACCCAGCCCAGCCAAACTGCAACAAAAACATAGCCGGGTGTTGTGGCAGGCAACTGTAGTCCCAGCTACTTGGGAAGCTGAGGCAAGAGAATTACCTAAGGAGGTTGCTGTGAGCTGTGACGCCACACACTCTACCCAGGGCAAGAAAGTGAGACTCTGTCTATTAAAAAAAAAAAAAAAGAATGGAAAAGAAAAGTATTTTTTAGTACTTTACATTAGTACTCAGTACTAATTTGAAAATAGTAGATCAACAACTACAGGCCCACACAAGAGAAAAGACACAATTCAATTCAGGAGGGGGAAAGCAGGGAGGGGACTGGATAACTTCCCATCTATCAGGTACAATGTAGGGGTGTGCTGCACACTTCCTGGGTGAAGGACTCAGCTACAACTCAGACTTTGGCCTTTACCTTACAAACACAAATAATGTAACCTAGTAGTATGTATCCTCATATTAATTCAAAATTTTTAAAAAAGAAATTATAATTAGAATGTGTTAAGAATGTAGGCCATGGACTGGTATTGGTATTGGTCTGTAGCCTGTTAGCAACCAGGCCCCCAGCAGGAGATGAGCAGTGGGCAAGTGAAAGAGCCTCTTCTGTATTTACTACTGCTCCCCACCACTCACATCATCACCTGAGCTCCGCCTCCTCTCAGATCAGTGGCAGCACTAGATTTTTAAAGGACTGAGAAGTCTACTGTCAATGCACATGTGAGGGATCTAGGCTGTGTGCTCCTTATGAGAATCTAATGCCTGATGATCTGAGGTGGAGCTGAGGCGGTGATGCTAGCACTGGGGAGCAGCTGGAAATACAGACTATCATTATCATTATCAGCTATCATCTATCATTAGCAGAGAGGCTTGACAACACAGAGACTGTAATAAATCAACTGCTCAAAGACTCATATCCAAACTTATGAGTGAGTGACAAGTGACGATTGAGCTACATCTGTGGCACGCTTTAAGTCAGAATCTGACACTTATTTCAGCCCAGGCTTAGCCCACCCATTATTTTGCTTACCACTTTCATCTATGCCTCTTTCCCACAATGCACACTCATCTCAGTCACAGTTTTGGTAAACCCACAAGCTAACCCTAACACAAAAATGAGTAAAAACCAAATGTCGCTGTTGAGCTTCTTTGAACGGGGGAAAAACACAATGATAAGACAGCAGAAGACTCTGGGATAGCCAACAAGATAAAAACTGTACTTAAAACACCAAGGAGTCCTACTTAAATAACTGGTTCATTTCAACAGGTGATTCAGATTCTCCAGGCCTACTTTGTATAGTTCATGGTAACCAGCTATTCAATGAAGCCATAAAACCTTCGAAACTGCTTTACCACATGAGAGCAAGCACACTCCATTAAAAGAAAAGCCTCTGGTATTTTTCAAAAGAAAAAAAATGTAAACACAAGGCACAGAAGCAACTATTGAAGGCCACTACTTCTTCAAATGGGTCTGCACTGACAGTGTCATCCTGGCTAACTGATTGCTAAAGCTGAGAAGCTCCTCACTACTGGTGAAGAGCTGATCCTGCCTGCTGCTAAGAGCATTTGTTGTGAATTTAGGAAAAAGGTGGCACATGTTCCTCTTTCAGCCAGCACCATAACTAGACAAACTGATGAAATAGCAGAGGATACTGACACTTGGTATTAGAGAGAATTAATGTTGACAAGGCAACAGTGCTTGTTTTCATGCAATATATTGTTTGGAAGGATGTGCATGAGGATATGGCGTGTGTACTTTTGGTGCTAACCAACACCACAGCTTCAGAAGCATTTGACTCTTTGAATGAGTACAAATCAGAAAAACTGAATTGGTCATTTTGTGTTAGTAACTGAACTGGGCAGCTGCCACGACTGGACAGCTTTCTGGTTTCACTCCTTGGGGCAAGAAGGTTGCTTCTGAATGTGAGTCTATGCACTGTGTCATCCATAGAGAAACGCTACCTAACCGAAAAATGTCACCCGAACTAAACAAACATTTTGCAAGATGTGATTAAAATTACCAACCACATTAAATATAAGCCCTTAACTCATGTCTGTTTGTGCAGCTCTGTGAGGAGATGGACACAGAGCACACGTGTCTTCTCTTATACACAGAAGCGAGGTGGCTTTCTAAAGGGAGATCATTGAGCAGAGTCTTTGAGTTATGAGATTTCTTTCAGAGAAACAGTCACCACTGGCAGCACATTTCAGTGACACAGAATGAGTCACCTCTCTTGCTGACTTGTGTGACATATTCAACCTGCTCGACAAACTCAGTCTGTCACTTCAGGGGAGAGCAACAACTGTGTTCAAGTCAGAAGATGAAGTGGCTGCATTCAAAGCCCAACTAGAATTATGGGGGTGACAAGAGCTCATCGGGCCTTTTTGACATTTCAAACATTAGCAGAGATTTTTAAAGAAACTGAGCTAGGGTCTTCTTTCTCCCAGCTGGTACCTGATCACCTATCTCAGCTTTCCAGAGTCTGAGCATCACTTCCCAACCACAAAAGACCCCTGCACAGGGAAGGAATGGGTCTGCAAGCCATTTGTGAATCAACCAGGTGAACCAACTCTGTCCATGCTAGAAGAGGATTCAGTGCTTGAGATCGCGAATCTCTGTATGTTCTAGATTCCAGCGAGGGTGGAATACCCTGAGAATGCCACAAAAGCACTGAAAGCCTGCTTCCATTCCCAACCTTCTATCTTTGTGAACCAGGGTCTTCTACAGTGACAGCAAGCAAAATGAGACTACGGAGTAGACTGTTCACAATGCACTTCAGGTGTCACTGGCTCCCATCACCCCCAGAAAGGACTGTGCAGTTACAGTAAAGCAAGCTCAGGGCTCCCACTGATTTGGCATTATAGTGAATTGTGTAACTGTTCCATTATCTATTACACTGTAATAGTGACAGAAACAAAGTACACAGTAAAAGTAACGTGCTTGAATTATCCTGAAACTCTCTACGTCCTATGGCCCCCAGTCCTTGGAAAAAGTATCTTCTATGAAACTAACTGGTCTCTCATGCCAAAAAGGTTGGGGATTGCTATGTTAAGAGTTATTTTTTAATTTAAAAAATTATGTTTTTAAAAATTAATCCTTGGCCGGGCGTTGTGGCAGGCGCCTGTAGTCCCAGCTACTTGGGAGGCTGAGGCAGGAGACTCGCTTGAGCCCAGGAGTTGGAGGTTGCTGTGAGCTGTGAGGCCACGGCACTCCCCCCAGGGGGATAGCTTGA